GGACTCAAAGATTTTTGAGATGACTAAAAAAGGAGTTGGAGATGCGCAAAAGATAGTGCAAAGGGCCAGCGCTCGGAGGGATTCTGTTTGGGCCAGCGCCTTTTCTAAGACATCACTGTAGAAAAGCTGGCAAGAGAAAAACAGTCGAAAGAAATCCCAGGGGAGGGGAGCCAGGGGAGTGGTGGGGGGTGGGGGCTACGGGCAAAGATTACTACCAGACATTGGGCCCGGCCCGCGGTGCTTCGGACGAGGAGATCAAGTGGGCCTACTGCCATCAGGCACTGCACTACCACCCAGATAAGAACAAGGAGCCTGGCGCTGAGGAGAAGTTCTAGGAGCTCATCGAGGCCTACGACGTGCCCAGCAACTCGCCCAAGCACGAGATCTTCAACCTCTATGGGGAGGAAGGGAATCTCCCTTTAGGGTGGTGGGCCTCATGGTGGGAGCAGCACTGAGTGGTGCTAACAGTACCTCTTTCAGCTATACAGTCCATGGAGACCCTCATGCTATGTTTGTCGAGTTTTTTGGCGGCCGAAATCCCTTTGATAACTTTTTTGGGCAGCGGAACAGGGAAGAAGGCATGCACATTGATGACCCGTTTTGTGGCTTCCCCCTGGGTATGGGTGGCTTCACCAACATGAACTTTGGCTACTCCCGCCCTGCTCAGGAGCCCACCTGAAAGAAGCAAGATCCCCCCCTCACCCACAACCTTAGAGTCTCACTTGAAGAGATCTACAATGGCTGGATCAAAAAGATGAAAATCTCCCACAAGCAGCTGGACCCTGATGGAAAGAGCATTTCCAACGAAGACAAGATCTTCACCATTGAAATGAACAGGGGGTAGAAAGAAGGGACTAAAATCACCTTTCCCAAGGAAGGAGACCAGACCCCCAACAATATTCCAGCTGCCATCATCTTTGTTTTAAAGGACAAGCAACACAGTATCTTTAAGAGGGATGGCTCTGATGTCATTTACCCAGCCAGGATCAGCTTTCGTGAGGCTGTGTGTGGCTGCACAGTGAATGTCCCCAGTCTGGACAGTAGGACCATACCCATCGTGTTCAAAGATGTCATCAGGCGTGGCATGCGGCAAAAAGTTTTTTTGGGGGGAAGAAGGCCTCCTCCTCCCCAAAACTCCTGAGAAATGCAGGGACCTTATTATCGAGTTTGAAGCAATCTTCCCCAAACATCAAGAACCGTACTTGAGCAGGTTCTTCCAATATA